GGTACTTTTGCACTAACATGGTACCTTTACCAATATATCAGTACCAGCACCTCATTTTTTGTTATTTGTCCTAAAAGCACTGCTTCTGAACCTGATCCTTGTTTTAGCTGTATTGTCTCTGTACTGACAAAGGAATTTGCCAGCCAGAAAACAGGAAACTTGGGGGGGGGGGGAACAAGCCGTTGTTCTTTCCTCTGGAGTGTATGCACCCTCTCATCACCTGAGAGAATAACAATGTGGGTCAGAATAAAGGGGAAATCATTTGTTCTGGAGCATAGGGTGAGGGAAAGCCCTTTCAGAGCCACAGGCAGATGGCAGTAAAAATAAAAAAAAAGGTAGCCAGTAGCTTAGGCTCTTTCTAGGCACGTTGCCATAGCAACAGGGAAGCGAAGATACTGCATGGCTGAAAGGGAAACAGGTTTAGCACTGGCAAACTAAATAAGGCCTTATCTTGGCCATCACTTAAATCTTTACACTTGACTGTCTCAGTATATTCACCAGAGGCATGCTGCTTCAAGCAGGAGGCCTGCCTCTTTCAGCCACTCGGCTCCCAGTCCTAAATTTGTCATCTTCACAAAGCCACCCCATTGCCTTAGAGGTTCGAATCCCCATGATGAGGTGAGCCCCTGTTGCTCTGTCCCAGCTCCTGCCAACCTAGCAGTTCGAAAGCACGGCAGTGTGAGTAGATAAATAGGTACCACTGTGGCAGGAAGTTAAATGGTGTTTCCGTGCACTCTGGTTTCTGTCACGGTGTCCCGTTGTGCCAGAAGTGGTTTAGTCATGCTGGCCACATGACCCGGAAAAGCTGTCTGTGGACAGATGCTGGCTCCCTCAGCCTGAAAGCGAGATGAGTGCCGCAACCCCATAGTCCAGGGGTCCTTTACCTTTTTTCCTTTTTATAAACGAACAATAATTCACAAATTATTTTACAACAGGCACCATCTACAGAGAAGGGGAATCCACTGCCTTCCAGTCACATCCCCAGAGACTACTGCAAATCCACCGCAGGTCCTCAGGTACAGAAACTCAGCGCTGCAATCTCATGCACTTTGCAAAGGAAAAGGTCCTAGTGGCCTCGTTCTCAGATACTGCATCTGGACAGGACTGGCTGCTGTTGGGGACTGGCGTAACGAAATGTTGCTCCGTGCAAATAAACATAAGGAAATTCCCCTGCATGTAAAATGCTAGATGTCAGGGAGAAAGATAGCTTCAGGTCCCTGCCCCAGGAGCATTCTGTCATGTGACTCCCCAACACAAAGCCCATTGTTTTACAGGATGATGTACAAACAATCCGCAAGTCACAAGTTATTTTACAATAGTCACCATCTACAGAGAGGAGAATTCCATGAGGCTCGCTTATTTATTTGGAGTCTTCCAAATCTTAATAGCGTAACTTCTAGAGACTGCTTGCCATTGATTCTATACATCATCATCATCAATCTTTATTATGGTCCAGAGACCCAACAAATCGTTACAAAGCAATACACAATTCATATAGCCTACCTCCAGGTTAAACAAGCATTTTGTTCAGAATATAGGGATCATTGGTTCTTGCAACCACCGATAAAAACTTTGCCACTGCTAATGTTCTAGCATTTGTCCGGTCTTCCAATAGGAACCTGACATAGTGAGCCTCTGATTTTCCCGGGAAAGGTACCAGCAAGGGTAGCATAGGCGCCGACTCCATGGGGCTTGAGGGGGCTCGAGCCCCCTCAAAAAATTTTTGGGGGGGCTCAGCCCCCCCAATAATCTCGGGCGCCGGGGGCGGGGGCTCCTGCCTCGCTGCTTCGCAGCACCACCGCCACTGCCAAGGCACTGCCGGGGGGAATTTCCTTCCTCCTGGCGGTTTCAGCCCCCGCGAGAACAGGGGAATCCCGACTGGCCACACCTCCCAGCCAGCCAATCGGCTGGCTGGGGGGCGTGGCTTGCCCTATTTAGGGCCGGAGCCACTTTATTTGCATATTCATGAGCTTATTTATTATTCATGAGCTTTCCCGGGCCCCCCCAATATTTTTTATAAGTCCGCGTCCCTGAAGGGTAGTATCAGTTCAGCCCTGGCTTGCTCATATTTTGCACAGTGCAACAAAATATGTTTTATGGAATCGAAGTCTTGAGCACACGAGCAAAGTCTGTCCTGGTAGGGAACTCCTCTCAACCTGCCATCCAACACTGCAGAAGGAAAGACGTTTAGTCTGGCTTTGGTGAAAAGCCTTCGATAGTTTGGTACTGTCAGGTTTTTAATGTAAGATTTTAACTTAAAGACATGCCCTTATTGCACTCCTACTGCCAGCGGACTACAGACTGCGTGTGATCGAGATTGCAAGTCACTGTGTGCATTATCCCATAATCTTTGCTTTAACGTCTTTAGGGCGCCTTCATAACCCAGGTAATATAGTTGGGGTGTGTGTGTCTAAATATACTAAAGTAGGTTTCTATGGAGGGACAAAAGTGTATATCAATTTTCACAGATCCTTAGATGTTTCAGCCGCCTCCCTGTGACTCGATTTTGGAGGCTCAGAAAATTTCAAAGGAAATAATCCTGGCCTGGATTTCAAATTTCAGGGGAAATCAACCTGGCCTGGAAATGGCTGCTGGAGCAGCCAGATGTTAGGCTTTTCCAGGGTGGGGCTTTCTCACACAGGGATCTGCTGCCATTTCTGAAAGCTTCTGTCTTCTGCATAAGAGTTACAGGGCGGGGAAGGTGCTTAGCACATTGGCTGCTGTTTGCAAGAACCATGCCTGAGTTTATATGCACACAATGCATTGCCCTTGGCTGTTCTTGAGGGACACTTCCAACAGATTCCACACGAAAAACGCTTATGTCCCTGTGGAGATGGAAGTACCAAATCGGTGGCACATATCCTTCTGGCTTGCACTCTTTATAAAGACCTGAGGAATGAGGTTATCATTCCTCTTTTATTGTCCATTCTGGGTCACCCAGCCACTGCCACAGTGTCCTTTCTCTTGGCTGATCAAGATGAGCAGGTGACAGCAAAGGTGGCAAGGTTTTTAGCTGGGGCAATCAGAATAAGATCCACTATTTGACTATTTGATTCAAACCCCTAAAATGTATTTTATATAATGTATTTTAATTATTTGTATATCGTGTTGTTGTTTTATTGCTATGGCTGATGGCTGACGCAAATAAAGATTCATTCATTCATATGCACACAATGGCTGGAATAGAGGGTCTGTGGTTCATCCAGGAGGGTGTCTGGGTTCTCTCTACCTGGATGTGAGAATCTAGCCGGGGTCATTTTCCTGTACCATGCATATTTACACTGCCTCTCTTGTGCTGTAGTCTCTGTTCATATATGGGGGACCCACAATTCAATGGTAGTATACAAAGTATACAAAGTTATGCTCTGCTTGCAGAAGGTCCCAGATTCCATCTCTGAGATCTCCAGAGGGTTCAGAATAGTTTCTGGCAGAGTAGAATTTTTGGTTAAGTGACCAGTGGAATGGTCCAGTTTACTACATAGCACTGTGGCTCCAAGGTTTTTCAGTCTAAGGCATAAGCTGGGCGTGTATCTTGTATCTTTCCCTTGCAGAGAGAAAAGCAACTTGGAGTTGGCAGGGATTTTTGGTGGTGAAATGGCCAAGTTCAAATCTTTACTAGTTAGCCAAGGGCTATCGATGGCACATAATAAATCCCTGAGGAATGGCAAACAAACAAAATCTTCCTATCTTTCACACTGCGACAATGCAAATAAACATAACACAATTCAAAAAGGAAGTGAATTGTCATATGCATTTATAATTTAACTTGATATTCAATACTTAGCCTGTAACTTGGCTAACAGAAAAAGACTAAGCTCAAATCTGCCTTTTTTCAAAGGGCAGGCTTTTATTTTATTTTTAAAGGCTGGCTGCAGGAGATGCATGTGCAAAGGGAACTGAGAGAAGATAGGTGTGGGCTGGGCTCTTTTTTTAGCCGGAACGTGGTTCTGGCACCTCTCATTGCCATTACAGTGGAATCTCAAGTTACGAACCTAATTCGTTCCAGAGGTCTGTTCTTAACCTGAAGCTGTTCTTAACTAGAGGCGTGCTTTTGCTAATGGGGCCTCTTGCTGCCGCTGCACTGCCAGCACACAATTTCCATTCTCATCCTGGGGCAAAGTTTTCAACTCGAGGTAACTCTTCCAGGTTAGCGGAGTTTGTAACCTGAAGCGTTTGTAACCTGAGGCGTTTGTAACTTGAGGTACCACTGTGTAAGAGAACAAGGCAGGCATTCATGATATGTCCCAGCACCTCTTTTTCTCAAAAAATAGCACCGGGTGTGTGACTTTATATTTCACCAGGGTACTCTAGTGACAACGAATTGTGTCTGCGTTCTTTTTCTACATGCACATACGGTCCTGGCACCGGAATGAAGTAAAGATAAATATTGGGCAGGTGGGCTTGGGTGATAGACCTGTTGCAGATGGGTAGGGTATAAATAATAAAATTATTATTATTATTATTATTATTATTATTATTATTATTATTAATGTTGGTTTGGTGTTGGCAATTTGCGCATGGATCCTGCTGGTTCTAATGCCAAGTTTTTATATATAGAGAGATTTTTGCTAGCTTTTGCCTTTCCAGAAGGAGACCCCCTTTCTGTATTGGAGGGAAACTGGAGATGTAAATCTCCCAGGCCTGCCCTGTCTGTGGTCCCCGAGCAGGGATGCAGCTCGCAGAATCCTGGGCGCCTGGGATTGGCTCTCCCGCTTGGGGGCGAGGAGGAGGCAGCGGCCTGGGCATTGGCAGGGCCTTTCCCCTCTGTCTGCTGCTGCTGCTGCAGCAGCCGCCGCCGCCGCTTTATTTTTAGCCGGTGGCTCAGCTCCGCTCAGCTGCTGTTGCAAGAGAGGAGGCTGGTGGGAGGAGACCAGGCAGATCTTCAGCCGGCTGCGAGGAGGAGGAGGAGCAGCGGGAGGAGGAAGCCTGGCGCACCGGCCAAGCGCGCCCCGCATGCACGGAGCGGTGCCCTCTCCTCCCATCGCTGCTGGGGACGCACGGCGGCCGCTGGCTTTCCCCGCGCGGCCCCCGGGAGAGAGCCGAGAGCCGCCGGAGCCCAGGCTCCCTCCGTGCTGCGGCAGCGGGGGCGCAGCTCGCCTTTGCAGATGGCCAGTCCGGGCTCGGGGCTGCTGGAGGCGACGCAGCCTCTGGGGGACTCGCCGGAGCCAGCGTTGGCCGAAGCGCAGCAGTGGATCGAGGTAAACGGAACGCCAGCAACCACTCGTCTCCCTCCCCTACGTGCATAGGGTCCTTTTGCAGTAGCTCTCCCCCCCTCCCCACACCCACGCCAAAAATTATCCCACTGCAGTGCCTTGGGCCACCGATCCGCGCGAGATTGGCAACCGGTTTGGGGACGTAGGCGCAATTTTGCGCGCAAAGGTTCTCCATCTCTCTCTCTCTCTCTCTCTCTCCGGCTCTGGCAGTTTCTCCCTGATGGTGCAGAGTTGCCATCGCCTGCTGAAAAGACAGGACGTCGGTGAGGTTCAGAAAGAACTGCTGCAGTAGCAGCAGCAGCAGGTTCAGTTCGCGGGGCGCATTTTTTAGGCGGCTGGAAGGATGCGTCTCTCTCTCTCTCTCTCTCTCTCTCTCTCTCTCTCTCTCTCCTTCCTCCCTGTCCCCGCTCTTCCTCTTCCTCTGGTCGCCCTTCCTTGCAGTCTAATCTCTTAATCGCATTTATTTCCCTCTCTGGGCAGAATGAAACGAAACGAGAGACGGTAAACAAGGGGAGCGCTCGGCAGAGAGCTCGCCTATCCTCTGGAGGAGGAGGTCTTGGGGATTTCAGAGCAAGAGCTGCTCTCCAGGTCTGGATGCTGAAAATGGGATAATCCAGACAGGTTCAAGTGCAGGAGGGTGTTGCCTTAGCGACAACTGAGGGCTGGGAGAACGTGGCCCACATCAAATAATCTCCGATAGTTTATACTGTTATAGTTCTGTTGTCCAGATCATTGTATAAATTGTGATTTCCACCTCCCGCTCCTCATCCCAAGGTAAAGTTCTTAACCTGAAGTACTATTTCTGGGTTAGCGGAGTCTGTAACCTGAAGCGTATGTAACCTGAAGCGTATGTAACCCGAGGTAGCACTGTACATTCAATTACGGCCCTATAATGCGTGAACTATTGTTATCATTATCACTGTTATTATTAAAGGCGTGCGCAAGCTTTAGGCCTTAACACGCTGCTGAGGAAGGTGAACGATGCTTCTACTTTGGAACCATACAGAGTGGTTGGTTTTTTGTCTCCATACAAAGAGGCGGGAAGGAGACTCTCTGAGAACATCAGTATCAACCAAAGGCGCTTCTTAAAGACTGACTTTATTGTTCCAACTGAGCCTTGGCTGCCTTCTTCCAGCAGAGAAGCAGAGTTCTGTGTAACCTGAATGCTTGCGCACACACTAACTCAAGCCATATATAGCACCTCCACTCTCTGTGCCTGGGAAGACGAGAAATAGTTTCCCTATAAAAAGTGTGGAAAATATTTGAATTGTTTGGTGTAGCCTGCCACTATTTCGAGGGTCACATTGTTGCTCACATGTTAGTTCAATATCAAAAGGGTGCGTTGGGGAGGGGAACTCACCTCCAAGCTTAGCTCCCCACGCACCATTGTCTTGGGTGCTTTTATTCCAGCCTTGCCCACTTCTGGAATTGCCCTAGGAGAAAAGTGAGAGGGCTTGTAAGCATTTGATTTCAGTGTGGATTAGAATCTGCCTATGGGATGCGGGTGGCGCTGTGGGTTAAACCACTGAGCTTAGGACTTGCCAATCAGAAGGTCGGCGGTTAGAATCCCCGCTACGGGGTGAGCTCCTGTTGCTCGGTCCCTGCTCCTGCCAACCTAGCAGTACGAAAGCACGTCAGAGTGCAAGTAGATAAATAGGTACCGCTCTGGCGGGAAGGTAAACAGCGTTTCAGTGCGCTGCTCTGGTTTGCCAGAAGCGGCTTGGTCATGCTGGCCACATGACCCGGAAGCTGTACACTGGCTTCCTCAGTCAGTAAAGCGAGATCTTCTCATTAAATCAGGGTTGTCCGCATGACACCCCTTCAACCACCTGCAATTTTGCTCACTTCCACCCTCCAAATGTGGATTTTCCCAACCTGGGAATAATTCAACATGCCGTTCAAAATCTGACACCTAATTGGGCCACCTGGAGCAGCATCCACAATGCTCTAGTGTTATTACAGTCGTACCTTGGCTCTCGAACTCTGCAAACTAGGAAGTGACTGTTTCGGTTTGTGAACATTCTTTGGAACCCGAATGTCCATTGGGGCTTCTGATTGGCTGCAGGAGCTTCCTGCAGCCAATCAGGAGTTGCACTTTGGTTTCCGAACGTTTTGGAATGGATTCTGTTCGACTTCCAAGGTATGACTGTAATTTGATTTTTATTTATTTTAGAACATATACCACATGATTGGTTGTTGTTTTTCTAAACCAAACAAACCCTCAAAGCAGTTTACAAAAGAATTAAACAATGAATCATCCCCCCCCACTCCCATTTCTGTGTTTCCCCCTACCTTCATTTTTTATTTGGCGGCACTTGTGGCTATTTCTTGGTAGGCTTCTCCAGGCATGAGCACTGCCTAGATTTTTTAAAACAGTGTTTAAACATTCAGATTCACAAAACTGAGGAAAACCATGTAACACAGTAGCCTTTAGCTTATTTGTATTGATCTGTAAAACATTTTGTGATGCATTTTGTGGACGCGGGTGGCGCTGTGGGTAAAAGCTCAGTGCCTAGGACTTGCCGATCACATGGTCGGCGGTTCTAATCCCCGCGGCGGGATGCGCTCCCGCTGCTCGGTCCCAGCGCCTGCCAACCTAGCAGTTCGAAAGCACCCCCGGGTGAAAGTAGATAAATAGGGACCGCTTACCAGCGGGAAGGTAAACGGCATTCCGTGTGCTGCGCTGGCTCACCAGATGCAGCTTGTCACACTGGCCACATGACCCGGAAATGTCTGCGGACAGCACTGGCTCCCGGCCTCTAGAGTGAAATGAGCGCACAACCCTAGAGTCTGGCAAGACTGGCCTGTACGGGCAGGGGTACCTTTACCTTTATCTTGATTTTATTCTGTGAACTGCCCTGAGACCCCCAAGTATAGGTCCATACATGTTTGGACTGCCCCACCTTCATGCAGTATTTGCACACTACATTGGATGCTGGGAACAATGACAAAAAAGTACCTGAAGAAATAAATAGGAGCACCATGAAAATAAGTCGTTTGCCATTTTCCCTTGCTATTTTTTTTTTAAAGGGTGCACATGCATGTAAAGTTCTGCCTTTGCACATGTCTTGTTTGTGCTCAAATGGAGGAAGAAGAAACAGCAAATTAGAAAGGAGGGTCGATTGGCCCATGCCCACGACTATGGAGGGGAAACAGCAGTTTTGCAACCAAAATGCAAGCGTGTATGGATTTCTAAGCTCAAACTGGAATAGGAAAACAGTGGATTTGCACAAATTTGAGCTTCCTGCTTCCCTTTCCTGCATATCTCTTTTGATGCTAAAACCAATAGTTAAAAACATTATGTACATGCAACACCCTGTTCTTATTTTAATGGGACAGATATGTGATCAAAGAAATGTGGCTGTTCTTCTTGCACATAATTTTGCCATCAGTTCTTCTGATTTATTCCTTCCTGTGCATTGTAGCCATTCAAAATCCCTGGATCCTCAGTGCCAAATAAGAGAGGGATACAGTATTCTTCACCAGAAGGCATGTGGGTTTATTGTGTTGAGTGATTGAAGGGACTTGTCAGCCAGGTCTTCAAGAATGCAGGGGCTTTTAATTTCTTTGTTACAGTGTGACAGCTCCTTTTGTCACCAACTGATAAGAGGGGATGAGACAGACTTACAGGTGGAGCCTAGGCTCAACTTTTGCCTGGGACTTCATTGAGTTCCATGGGACTTACTCCCAAGTAAGTTTGTACAGCGTCGCAGTTCGAGTCTCACTCAAATTGGAACATGTGATCAGGCAAAATGAGCTCTAGATACAGTTTAGTTTAGATCAAATGTGGGCAACTAAAAACAAAACAAAAACTTGGCCGAGCCAAATGAAAAATGAATGAAGAGTCACGCGAAACCTTAAAGGCTTAACTACTGTATTTTTTGCTCTATAAGACTCACTTTTTCCCTCCTAAAAAGTAAGGGGAAATGTGTGTGCGTCTTATGGAGCGAATGCAGGCTGTGCAGCTATCGCTGAAGCCAGGAGAGCAAGAGGGATTGCTGCTTTTCACTGTTCAGCGATCCCTCTTGCTGTTCTGGCTTCTGAGATTCAGAATATTTTTTTTCTTGTTTTTCTCCACCAAAAACTAGGTGCGTCTTGTGGTCTGGTGCGTCTTATAGAGCGAAAAATACGGTAATTTGTTATGGGAAATGTTTCACCCTGAACATACTCACTCCTTCACCAAAGTGACTTATTGGCTGTATTTGCATGTAATGCCATTTTGCATGATGAGGATGAGATACATTCATTGAGCACTGGGCTTGTCTTATCTTTGTTCCTTTTTCTTTCTCGAGCGCAGCTTCCAGGAGATTGTAAGCTTCTGCTTTTTTTCTTTTTAGATTAACCTCAGGTCGCCATTTCCTCTGAACTCAGGTAAACCGTGGTTAACCTTAACCATGGCTTGTTGAAACAAGCCAGCTTAAAACCGCAGGTTAGTCTGGGTTGGGATGTTACCTTGAGTTTTGAGGAATCCAAAACAGAAGCAAGAACTTCTGCACTCCTCACAGCCATGCTGGAGATGGGATTGTGTGAGTTTGGCTGGTGGAGAACCACTGGCCCGAAAACCAAACCTGGCCTCCCAGCCTTCCCATTTGGCCAATGAGGCTGGTCTCCGAAAATGACACCCACCAGTCCCACACATGTCATCATATGTGATGTCAGGTGCAAGGCAGGCAGAGCTTTGGTTTCAGAAAGCAGGGCAGATCTTCCTGTGCATTGGCTGCTGTGCAGAGACCTGTCTGATGCAACTAAACCCTGCAAAAAAGCAGGTTTGAATTATCCATGCATCAGCCAGACAGTCCCAGGCCTTAAAAGGTTCCCCATCTGGCGCTAAACCGTGGTTTGGTGCTACTCACAAACAAGATGGTTATGTCACTTGGCAATGATGTTGGGGAGCTGAATTATTCAAAGCCGTATTAAATCTTCTTGTTGTTTAGTCATTTAGTCGTGTCCGACTCTTCATGACCCCATGGACCAGAGCACGCCAG